TGATTATGTGGTTTGGGGTATTTCGTGAGTACAGTGCGTCTGACTTTTACAAAATGTTTTCAAAACATGGGAGTCACTGATGAAAAACACAGACAGGGAAGCTCAGGGCAAGTGGTGCATGGGTGACATCAACCTACACGTGACAGAAACTCTTAAAGAGAAAAAAAAAAGTCCCAACCCTCTTAAGGTTAAAACTGGGACTCCTTCTGTGTAAATCTAAAAGATCAAAAGTACACTTGAACTGTACAAGCAAAACAGTGTACTCCATCTTTCATTTTGGCACTTTCTCTTGTCTCTGGTGATTCACGTTTTTCTTGATTCATTTCTTTCTGCTGAAATTTAGAGTGGTTTCACCGAACGGCCCTTAAATTTATTGCGCTCGAGGCGTCTGTTGATAAAATAAATACACGTTTATTGGCCAATTTACTGCACAACCATGTCAATTTTTCAGTGTTTCATTTTTATCTGTGTGACAAGTAGAGGCGACACACAAATGTCATGAGAAAACTTCCAGGGAAACAGTTATTTTTTAATCATGTTATCTGGCACATACCAGTAGGCACATGGGCGGATCTCCCAGGGATGGGGGATATTCTCCCCCTCCCTTTTGACCTGGGGGAATTATCAATATAATCATCCCTTCCCCCTTTTCAAGTCACTGACTATGTGCATCCTTAGCCTGCACCACCGACTCCGCACTTGCCAGCGTCGCGCGCTCACCTGGGATAGAGGCCGTGCTGAGCTTTCAGAAATCACCCCCCCCGGGTGAAAAGAAATCGCCGCCCATGCACATCAGGTTTGAAGCAAAACACTGATGGATTGATTCAAAAAGGGAAAGTATGAAAAAACAAGATTTCTTGGTTAGAACAATGCAGCAAGAACTGAAAATGAATTTCTCCATGTGCTCGTGAACCTCCTCCGTTCTCCTCAAAGACATTTCGGAAACGCATTCCCAAATCTCAAAAAAGAATCTAATATTTCTGACACACTGTCCCGGTTTTTCTAGACCCTCAGAACTCTCTTGTGCCTGACCTTCCACCTGACTAAATATGTACTCTGCCACACATGTGCCTGTTTATACAACATTACAAAACGGTCGCATGGAAATCTGCATTGTGTGCAATTGATGGGGTGCAGTACTCGCCCCTAGGGCAGTGCTGGTTTCTCTTTCACAGAGGATAAAAGGTCACAGTTTTCCTGCTGTCAAAGTTCACACTTTGATGCAACACAGCCACATGCAGGTGCACCATAGCCCCCCAAAGCTGTCTGACCAGGAACAGGTTTTTTCTTAACAAGTAGTAGCATCAGTCCATGAAAAATGACAGTCACTGTAATTGAGAATAACTGCCCCCTTTGCAGGCTCTCAGGTCTTCAATTTTTTTTTTCGTTTAAAATGTTATTTTTTTGTATTTCAAGTAATCCTGAATGCAATATAGAATCCCTGAAGAGGGGCTCTACATTTCATTTCCCGTTCAGGTAGAGCGTGACTTGGCCAGGATTTTTTCTGCATGTACGTTGACTGTTTTACATATAGTACGTGACTAACTTAATTGCAGATCCCTGGTATGTTACCTTCCCTTTGCACTGCAATGTTGACCAGTGAAGTTCTTGCTCTATTATCAACCACAACCAACGGCAGAGAATAACAATAATAATTACTTTGGGATTTCCCCCTTTTTTCCCTCCCGCACACGCGACTTATAAAAATGTTGCAATGCATGAAAGACATTCTTCAAATTGGGAAACTGCCACCTCTGACCTCCACAAAAAGGAGAAAAAGAATATTCCGAGCGCATTACGAAACCTGTACAAAGCACAGGTCAACGCCTGAGCCCCAAAACGTGAACCCGTCTGAAATCTCTTTGAATATAATTTCTAGAATTTCACACATCACTGCTACTCATTGGCAAGGCGAGAATTCCACAATACAAACGATTCTCAGCATTTCGAGCATTTGGTCCCATGCAAAGATGCATGTACTCCAAACGACCCACAAAGTCTCTCAGCCACTTTGGGGGTTGTAGCTGTGAGACAAAAAAATGCACGAACTTCGTGCACTAAAAATTAAAAGAAACTTTAAACAGCATAATCGGGTTCAACAACAAACAGCAATGACTGTGTTAAGAAGCCATTTTTAGTTATTCGTCAACAGCAGGAAAACAGTATTCTCTTTATGATGTAAAAACCTTATTCTGCTCACGTTTGGAGTCTCTTACCATTGACAAATTGTCAAGGGCATTCCAAACAAGGTCAGGAGCACGTTTCACGTTGCAATGTGAGCAGGGGGGGACCAGTCTGGGTACTAACAGACCCTCTCTTAAGCGTAACCAGTCCACCAGTCGATGAGGCCCAGGTCCCCATCTCCCCCTTCAACTCAGCAGGAACCTGCCTGCGGGCGACAGCTACTAAAAAGAACCCAGTCCTGGGACAAAAAAAAAAAAAAAGAGGGACGGGGTTCTCAAAATGCACGTGCCTGGATTCTGGCCAAAGTTGTAGGAACTGAAATTTGCAGAGATGTTTCTTGTTCGAAGCCTGGCTCCCCCGTGAAGGGAAGACGAGGAAGTTATCAATAAGAGGTGCCTCCCGCTGCGGCGTTTCAGTGTACAGTTGGTGTACGCGTGGGTTTTTCAGTAAAGTGGTCAGATTTCAGACTGTAATTCACATTTTCCCCCAAAAAACTTTGTGTTAATTTGTTCCCAATATTCAGTTTCACGAGTGTTTAGATCTCTAAGTTGACACCCTCTGACTCGCCGCAGCTCCATTTGCTGCTCCCGGAAGGTCTGTCGCATGTTAGCACATTTTCATGTGGTTCCGACAACAAAAATACTGGTAATGCATGTACCAGCACTTGAAGTTGAAGCCAGACCCTAAAATGAATCCAGGATTTTGGAAAAGGAGCCCTGCACAGGAACTGGAGTCCTAACTACAACAGTATGATTTTATGGCACAAAGTGACAATAAAAAAGATTTCCAGTGAGCGGGACCACATTGTGTGCATGGACTGCATTTCTGGGCTCACAACACCGAGAATGCCTTCTCTCTTTTCATCTGAATGCGCACAAACCTGGTGCCAATTTCACACAATGGCCAAACACGGGAATTTGCTAAGCCAAGAAAATATGCAATTAGCAAAAGTCGGTAACCAGCTAAACATTATGCAGAGTCTACTTTCCTGTGACCGGTTACCTGTAAAATCAGCTAAGCAAAACCTTTCTGATCAGCAGTTCTTTGAAACTAGGTCCTGTGGTGATTCCGTGTTGGTGGCACATGCAAAGTTGTTGAGGCGTCCTACAATGTGTGTGTGTGTGACATCCCTGTCTGTGTAACCACTGACGCGCAGCGCTTGCACACAGCATTACCTACTGTAAACATTTCTAAATGAAAATGACACAAAAACTTCTCTCAACCCATTGAAAATGGCCTATTCAAACCAATTGA